AAAATACTTTTTGAAAACCAATAAAATATAATTGACCCTAAAGCACTCTCGTTGTATTTAGAATCAATGTTCTGTTACTTCTATCCAATTCAAAACCTCAAACCTTGTTGTATTAATTTTAACCTTTGTTGTCTTTTACCCTCGTAACAAAAATAATTTTATTAATTAAAATAGAAACCAAAACCAGGAAAGAATTTTATAAATATTAATACCAATAGGTTTTCGAATCCCTTCGGTTAGATTATGTTACATACCGGTATCTCAGGGAATTAGCTAGGCATAGTTTTTAACAGAGACATGCTATTACAGTAATTAATCATAAAATAGAACATGATTTCTGTAGTGTAAATATAAATAAAGCTTATATTAAAAACCTATGAATAAATCTCTAGTACAAAAGAATTTACTGCAACTTGAAAATTATTCTTCACGATCCTCCACAGATGTCGGATGAATTCGCTTCTGAAAGTACACAATTGAAGAAAAACTAAAACTGTAAATCTAAACTAATGTTGCAATAGCTCCCCGATGTGGAAAGCTATTACTTTAAAGTGGTTATTTTTCTGCTTAGAAACTAGAAAAGAAAATTCTATGAAAAATGGAAATTTCTTCGAGCTTTGTAACTGTCAATTCTTACTCTTTTTATAGCTTGATGTATTCACATAAATCCCTCCAGAAATATCAGGAACAACTTCCTTCGTGGAGATAATCTCGTCACCCTGGTCTTGCACAGAGGAAATAGGAAGAATGAGGGAATCATGGCTCTGACGTGCGAGGAAAAATGGGCCTGATATAAAACAACCTATGGCGGTGGCTACAAGAAGTGTGCCGGAGGCCACAGACCAAACATGTGTGGCGAGGGCCACAACCTTTTGTGCGTAGATTTACATTATTTCTTTTGTTTCTTCATGTTTTCTTGCTCTTTCTATGCCATTTCCTCTTCTTTTCTCATGCAAGCCTCAAGGAGGAAAAACACCTGAATTACATAAACATTGCCAGCATAAAATGACATAAATGGCTAAAAACAGTAAAATAATCCTTGCTAGTCGAGTCGAAATACGATGAAATTTTGCATTATCACATGGATGTCTTTGTTCTGAGATTTTCCTGCCCCCTAGCGAGGAAGTTGACAGTTTACTATCTGCAAATCACATGGTTATTGGTACTCCCTACAATGTTTAATCCTCAATGGCGTCCTCGTTCAGAGTGTACAGTGTGTTTATTTCTCCCCAGTAAGAGTTGGAAATTCATTTTTGCAAGCTTTATCAGAATACGGCTTGTGGCTACCGGTTATTCAATTTATTTATCTCTAGTGAACATTTAAGCATGCATCATTGCATTGTATCCACCCAAATGTGTAGTGTCGCCATTTATTTGGGAAAATTATTTCATAAAAGAAAAATCCAAACATGCATTGAATTATAAGCCAAACGCATCACCTTGTTCCCTAGTGATTTATCTTGATATACCCGGTGATTTCCTAAACCCAACAAATATCCCATGAATTCCCCGACAGATCTCCATAGTGTTTAACGCTTTCCTATCTATCTTGTCTTCTATGTTATTACCTGCATTTACTTATTGAAGTTATAGTGTGAGAAAGAGTCGGTGTATAACACTTCTTTATTTTCAATTGTTTGAAAAGCCTGACTTAGTGTTCAGCAGTTCATATAGTTTCCACTATTGAAGAACTACACCCCCGCCTTTGTCCTGAGGGATAATGTGGTCCTTTTTCTTGCAAATACCAAATCCTCTCTTACCTCGTGTAAGTCGGTCCTCTTCTTTCTTCTCGCATAAGGGATGTTCCTACCCCCCCCCCCCCCCCGTGTAGGTCCTCGTGGTTCGTGTCCAATCGTTATTTGTGTACCATTCGAGTCCATCTTTTTCTAACACTTCTTTCCTAGGCCTAGACGTCTCTAGTCCACGTGTGGCGGATGTTTACTCTTGTTCCTTATTTTCCTTATCCCATATCACTATTTCTCCTCCATTGAGTGTTCACTCTTTGTGTTGTTGTGATCCACTTCTTTCGTGGCGTAACATTTTCGGTCTGGTGGTAATCAGTTATCTTCAAGGTCAAGTGGTTACTTGTCACCTATCTTGGTTCTAATGGTCATTAGTATCTCAAAAAAATCCCAAGCGCATATTGAAATATAAGTCAATGGTGTTTTCTTCATTCCCAGTGAATTGACGCAATTTACTGGTACTCCCCAGAGGCTAGTGGTTACTAGTTCCTCTTAGATCGAGTGTTTACTCGTTTTCTTGGTTGCAATCCAGTTTGACCTTGGCGCGGAATTCCTTAAATCTAGTGGTTACTAGTATTTTAGTCTAGTGGTTACTAGTTCTTCCCCAATATCTTATAGCCTAGTGGCTACTAGTCTTCTTAAATCGAGTGTTCACTCGTTTACCTTGTTGGTGATCCAGTTCTTCCCTGGCGTAACATTTATAGGTCTAGTGATCAGCAATTCCTATCAAGGTTAAGTCTTATACTTATCACCTGATTTTGAATGCGGCGCTCTGGTTTTCGCTAGAGTCTAGTGGTTATTAGGTGCTCCAGAGTCAAGTGGCCACTTGTCTCTTCGTCTCTTTAATTCCTTGGTAAGTGTCAGTGGTTATTGATTCTCCCATGTTTGAGATTATTAAGTGTTCTCCTTGTTGTTGGATACAATGTTCATTAGTATCCTATTGAGTACTCCTAGTTCTAGTGGCTACTAGTCCTTGTTAAGCTGAGTGGTTACTCTTTGCTTAGTTTGTGATCCATTTCTTGCCTGACACATTTTCTGTATTACTCTTAAGGTTGATAGGTCACTCATTACCTTCACTCGACCCCTAACGTTTTGACAATGTTATAATGGTTATGGTTCAGAAGGCATTGTTCCAGTACCCGGTTTTAATACAATTTGTCTCAATTCAGAGCGCAAATTTTTGAGTTCATTTTTAGATTTAATCTCCTTTTACCTTGTCACTCGAAAGGCTGATGCCCATCTCGCTCTAGGTTTAAAGAAGTTTGAATAGGGGAAGTTGTTGTAACCCAAAATTTACCCTCTTCATTTCGACTCTATTTGGCTTATATTTCATTATCATGTGCTTGCATATCATTGGTTCTATGGTTATGGGATCAAGGAATTTCTTTCAAGCCTCGCCAGGTTACAGAAGACGTGTATTTCGTCATTTGACGTGATCCAAGTTCTATCTAGGCTATTTATCATTTATTAGTTAGGTTATCTTCATTCCAAGTTCTCGTGTTCTCCTGCACGCCTTGAACGGTAGAGAAAATCAAGCGTTTCGATGAATTCGGGACAGTGTGAACCAGAAATAGTTTTTTGCTGGATTAAGCTCAAAATTTTACAAACTCGTAATCAGGATACTGTTTCAAGTTGATTCCTCAGGCATTGGAACCGTCTCGGTATTTTCTTCATTTTATATGTTCAAGCCAGAGGCCATTTATGTGCAAAAAAATTCCAAATTATTTGATTATCCTGAAGCGGTACTTGAATTTAATGACTTGTTATTTGTTTCCTGAGTGGTTGGAAATTTGTAACTTACATCCAATTCGGTATTTTCAGTTGATTCTTAAAGCATTGAGATCGTCATGATTTTCTTATCATTTCTCGTGTTCGGATCGAAGGTTAATTTAGTGAAGAAAACCTCTGGGAATTTTAATTCTTTGAAGACAGTGTACTGAATTTAATTGCTGGTTCGTTGTTACGTGAGCACTTAAAAATTCATAACTTCTATTCGGAATATTGTTCCAGAATGGTTCTTGAGGCGTTGGAAGCGTCTTAATGTCTTCTCCATTTCGTATGTTCGGCTCGAAAGCCACGAGAAAAACTTTCATGCATACAAACATAAATCCTTATTGTTACAAACAACCAATAAGAATAGAGAAAGTATTTTATTTATTTAAATTTTAATTTCTTCTTAAATTGGCATCATGGGTAATTGTGATTATGAAGGAGAGAGAATATTTTATTTTTTATTTTTTAATTAATAAAAAAATGTGATTGGTTGTTTGTAAAAGCAAGTGTTAAGTTATGTCTACCTAAGTTTTTTCCCGAAAGCCAATTCTTTGAGGAAGATCTTAGAATGCACGAGTACTTTGAAGCTAAACAATGAAAAAATAGTGAAAATACTGTGCTGAACCGCTATTTTGTGGATGCTCAAAAATTCATAACTTTTATCCGGTTCAGTGTTTTGGATCCATTCTTTAGGCTAAAATACCGTCTTGACGTCTCCTACGTTTCGTATGTTCGGATCGAGAGCGAATTCTGTTCAGAAGGTCTCTGAAAGTGTGAATTACCATAGATTTTTACAGTAGGAAAAGATTGACAGTTGTTTATTTTCTCGGTGTTCAAAAAATCATAACTCTCTCAGTTTTTGTTGCATTGGGCTGGTTCTCAAAGCATTGGATCATGAATTTTGTTAACTTCAATTTTTATTCAGACCTCGAGTTCAGACAGTATTCCGAAGGCTTTCGTTTTTGGTCCATTTTGCAAATGGAACGTTGAAATAAGTTGAAATTTCATTCGTAACATAAGAAGTCCATTGTTTCTCACCATTCGAAAAATCATAACTCGCTTGATTTTTATCATACGAGGTTGATTCTTTCAGCACGGAGTCACGAATTTCGTCATCTTCTACTTTCCTTCAGGTCTCGGGTTCGTATTTTGCTCTGAGAAGCACAGACTTGTTGATTAAGCTTCCAATAAGCTGAAAAATACACTTATATAATTTTTCGGTTTGAGGTCTCGCCATTTAAAGTGATTAAACTCACTCAATTTTTATCCGATTAAGTTCGTCCTTTATGCACTGCATCATAGACTCTGTCAGCTACGATCTTATTGTTGGTCCTGCATCAGAATTTCGCACCAGTTAAAATATATTGGGGGGTTCAGTGTCGACTAGTCATGAAAATAATTGAAAATGTCATCCAAACAAGACTTTGGAGCCACATTATATATTCAAAAACCCAAGTCTTTCTCTCATAATTTCATTTTCACACAAAAACACCAAAAACCTCTCAAACTTTTTCTCTATTCTCTCAACTCACAAAAAAGAGAAAAGTCACAAATCACCACAAATCACCAACACAACCACCTTGCACCACCATCGCAAAAGCTCAGACCACCACATTGGTCCCTCCACCACTCCCTTCCACTATGAAGGAAGCTGCACGAGCTCCTCCCTTGCGCTTAGCGCCAACATCAAAGCTGGTACTCCCTCCATCAAGGCCTCGATCGCGGCGAGCTTCTCTCTCTGTTTCGTGCATTTATGGCACCGGTAGCTCCCTCCTATCTGCCAGTCTCTTCGATTCCTATGAGTTTTATTTTTCTTCAATCTTGGATTCAAGTGCTCAATTGATTTTATGAATAATTCCTTGAATTGAAATGGATGTGATAATATTGACTTGAATTGATTTGCGTTGTTGAGACTTAAGTTGAATTCTTGAGTTACATTGAGAAATTGGACATAAATAATGAGTTGAAATTGTGAAGTTTATGTGAGAATTTTGAATGTAGATTAGGTGTTTGATAAAATGTCTAAGAGGTATAATTGGTTGAAAATTGAATTGTAAAAGTTGCATTTGATTATGAGATGATGCCAAAGTATGGAGTAGGTTAGAATTTTGTTAAAAGTTGGTGGAGATTGTTGTTTATTGAATTAAAGAAGAGTTGCATGTGGTTGGTTAGCCATTGGAGTTTGCTTCATGTGTTGGACTTTGAAGCATAGGATGTTGACATAATGTGAATTTTGGTGTGAATTGAATTGTGAACTTGATTCTTGATTGTGGATATGGTTTTGAAATCCGGAATTGGTTAGACAATTATATAATCAATATTAGATGTTGAATTTCATTCAGAAATTTGAGGTTAATTTTTAAATACCGAATTTGAGATTTGATATCGATTATAGAATTATGATGAGATTAAGTTGTGAACTCGTGAGTTAATGCAACTTTTCACATCAATTTGTTGATGCATCTATTTTTCAACATCAAAACAATAAATCTGAAAGTTACATTAACACTTGTATTATGTGATTTTTTGCTTGGTTTGTGAGAATTTGGTTCCTTCACAAGATACTTATGATTCCTAAGTGGTTTTACATACACTGGTACATGTTTTTACACTCGTTCCTAAGCTTAAAATGTCATTTTCAAGTGATACTGGTGTTTTACGGAGTTTCTGTCCTGGATTTGGAAGTAGCACCTCCGCTTGAAATTAATTCATGGGAACCAATTTTTTGAGTCTGTTGGCACGTTTGGATGTGACTGTGCGATTTTTATGTGATTTTGTCCCGATGTTTTGCGTGCCTAATTTTTGAATTTAATGTTTTTTGGCACTTTTTGACATGTACATTGAGTTCAATATTCATATAAGCCATGTTTGTATGTTATTGTTCATTTATGAACCTTTGTGTTTAGATTTGCTTGATTCTGGTTAATTTTTTGGGTTAATTCTATAAATAACTATAATGCTACCTAGAATTCACTTTTATGCTTTCGTTGCTTGTTTCATTTTTTCTACGCATGATAATATGTCATTTCAACTTGCGATATCGATTTTTGAATTACATTTGATACTCCTTATTATTTGCTAATGCATTTTATGACTTACGCAAGGTACTCTGTGAGAATCTTTCGATCATGTAATTTAATGTAGATTATTTGATCGAAAAGAATTTAATTTGAGGATTCGCTTCCGATGAGATTCGTTCTTGTTTCTTATTTCATGAGAAATATTTTGTTTTTATTTTTGTCTGGACTGTTATTACAAGTGTACTATTTAGTACTCTGATGTGTTGGAAACACATTCCAATGTTGTATGCTTGTCTGGATGATTACTTTATGCAGGTGTACTATTGTTATACGGATGTGTATGACACACATTCCGTATTATCTTTCATTTTGTGTTTCTTGTCTGGATTGTTATCTGGTGCAGGTGTACTGTTTAGTGCTCGGATGTGTTCGATACATGTTCCACATTGTGATTTGTTTTCACATCACTTCTTTGAGAAAATATTCCATGCCAGATCTCTAATTATTTTGTTATTGATGTCAGCTGCTCGTGAAGTATTCCAGGTTTCTTTTGTTATTTCTTAGCGTATACGTATTGATATATGTTTGGTATTCTCTCGTTCCTTTTTATCTCGTATTCTTTATCAATTTCTAGATATCATGAGAAGTAGGAAATAAAGAGCGTGCGCTCGAAGTCGATGTTTAAAGACCTTTAGAAGGTATTCCTCAATTATTAGCTACTTGTGTTTGTTCTGTGTGTTTACATTTGTGCCAAAGACCTCAAAAAGAGGCATCCCGTTCCCCATTATTAAGTCCTCAGAGAAGGCAACGCGAGCAGAGGGTCCACAATTAACCCCGCTAATTTCAGTCCTATGTCATCCTTAGCTCGGGTAGTACGCCGATGATTTGGAGTGTTCTTACTCTTGTATCGAGTCAGAAAGCGAAAAAGGGTTTCGCAACCAAACCCTCGCACTTTGTCTTGAGCTTACGTTGATCAATGTTGTTGCTCCATGTTTGTTCATATTGTCTTCTATCTCCTACCTCGATTCTTGATATCTTGGTTAGGTGCTTATTCGCTTTGGACATAATTTTCCCCTTTTATACTTCTTTCCTTGGTGACATGATACCTTGGTTAAGATTAGCTTTCATGACCCCTTCTTTCCTAGATGACATGATATCTATGGTCAAGAATATCCCCTATCCTACCTTGATAACATGATATCATAGTTAGGTGTCTCGCTTCCTTTATCTTGCCTTGACGACATGATATCGTGGTTAGGTTCCCCTCTCCCTTCCTACCTTGGTGACATGATACCATGGTTAGGTGTGTGCTACTTGAGTAAGTGGATACTTCTCAAGCGTTTGTTTTTCTTTCTTTCATGACTTGGTTAAGTGCTTGTTTGCTTGCATGATTCTTATTTTGCGTGTCTTCACAGGCTCCCCATAGGATTCTTAGTTCTTTCTTGGATAAGATTGAACTAAGTAGACCCTAGGATGTTTATCCATGTATGCCAACATTAGTTAGGTTATTTCCCTCCTTATTCTGACCTTAGGGCCATCTTTGCATGACAACATTAAGGGTAGAACTAGATAGTTTCCCTTAGTTGTTTTCTTTTGCATATTAAGACTAAAACTCTTTACCTTTATCAAATTCATAAAATACCTTAACCAAACTTAAATCCTTTTTCAAGGTCAAAATAATCCACCAATGCAAACCATTTTGTCTTTGGACCCTTTTCCTTTTGAAAACTTTTTCGATAAGGGTATGTCTTTTCAAATTCAAGTGAGTTGCTAAGTGTGCGAGTGGTCGAGCATGAGTCTTTGATAAGCTACAACGCCAAGCACGAATTACAATCCTAATCGCAATAATTTGAAACAGTATTACTCATAAAAAGCATGCGACCAACCAAAACTTTTTAGGGGAACTACGAGTTCCTTGATCCCCATTGTGCGGTCGGTGGTACGTAGGCACAAAGGTTCGCAATTGTGGCAGGCACGACTAGTAAAAAAAAATTAAATAATCCTTTGCATTCATACATTCTCTATACAACCTATCTTTATATTTTTGGCAAACCCTTTAGATTAGACAACAAGAGTGGATACTATAGAGTACTACGGGCGTGAGGGGTGCTAATACCTTCCCATCGTGTAACTGACTCCCTTATCTGATCTCTATGGTCGTAATACCGTGATGTCACCCTTCAGGTTTACTCGATGTTTACCTTTCCCTCGGCGGGATAAAAAACATTTGATGGCGACTTCATTGTTTATTTCAATAATTTGTCCAATTGCTTCACATGTGATTGAGACTGATGTTGGAACCTCATTTTAGCTCTTTTGCTTCTTCAGCCAAGGAAATTTTTTAGACCATAATGGAGTATAAGGTCAAGCCACTGACCAAGTCTGGGATGTTTTGTAAAGTGTATGAAGAAGAAGGATGTTAGACCAAATACCCTAACATTTGTGGAAGGGAAGCATAATCTACAGTTTGTGTGTGAGGAAGATTTCCTCTTATGACAAATACCTTGACGGGAGTTGGGTATTAGTCTGATGAAGATGAGAATGTGATTGATGGTAAATACCTTATCGGGAGCTGGGTACTTATCTGATGTGTATGTGCAAGTCTTATTTCTGAACTAGTGGTTCAGAAATTTGCTTGAGAGTTTTTTTCTCCTTAAAACATTTAGGTGTTTGTGATAACCTGAATGAACTGCATAAGGTTTGATCTTTTGAGATCTTCTTGTGTTTATTGGAAGCTTCTTGAAGGACTTCTATGCATAATAAGTCCTTTGAAGGGTGTTTTAAGCACCAAAATAGTTGGGTTCTGTGTTAGGAACCTGATGTCCTAAATGATGTTGTAACATCGTGTTGGGTTATGTTTGGAAGATGCTTGGGTTAGATTCTTAAGCATTATTGTCAGAAGCGGCAGTTCTGACTATGTGGATCTGAATATGCAAGTTCTTATCTTGTCTACAATAGTATGTTGGGTGAATGCATGACTACTATGTAAAGACTTCACTAGTACCAGCAATTACTAGTGAATGTAAGGGCACATAACCAACATCTGATAGTGTGATCTGATAAGGAAGATTATGAAGAAGTGTTTTCCTCTACTACAAGTGTGTCAACCTGGAGCTTGTGAAGCAAGCAAACTGATTATTTTGCTTGAGTAAAGTTAGTATAAGTGTGCATGAGATCTTGATCATCTGAAGAGGTATAATGAAGTGTGTAAGGCCATATATCAGACATAGTCAAAAGATATAGAGTTGAAGTATCTAGTTCATACTATTTTCACAAGGGTGAGGTCATGGTTCAACATGTGATTGAACTTGTGACCCTTCACTATTGTGTTATTCTTCAGCAGGAGCCTTAGTTATCCATGACAGGGGGAGTTTTACGTGTCCATAGTTTATTGTTATGATGCTGAGCTTATGTAGCTTGCATGTCGTTCAAAGTGCATGGTTGGATATAGAATTGTGAAGCTAGTACTCACATGCTCCATGGGATGATTCTCAAGGGTAATGTTGCATGTGTCTGGGTGAATTTTTTTTGGAATATGTCACACTTGTATTTGTGTGTTTTACTTATTCTAAGTACAGCGAGCATACTTAGAGTTTAGTAGAAGACAATAATTTATGTGAAGCATCTTGTTAAAAGTTGAAGAATTGTTGGTCAAAGTTGGTTTAGCCACAACAGACATTGTTTGACCAGAAGTCAGAACTTTGTTTAAGACTTTTTTTTGGAAACCAACAAAAGAGGTTATGGAT